CCAAGTATTGAATCTACAAGCGCTTCCTTCAAAACTGAGCACTCAGAGCTGCACGCCTCTTAGTATTACAGTCTGACTTTCTGCCAAAACCGGGATCCGCCATTAATATGCAGCCCTTTAAGGACGAACAAAATCTAGGGTGGACAGGGAGAGCCATGGGATCCAAGGAAGAACACTCTGCTCTTAGCACAAGGCCCCCCCACCGCTCTGCGCATTCGCCCAGCTTTGGGACGGTCGGCACTTAAAGACCTGCGTACTGATTTTCATTTTACGCAGTCAAAACACAGTTTAAATTTAGCTTTTAAGTTAGCTGAGAGGATAACTCGGCAGTGTAAATTTAGCCTGCAGTAGGTGTGCTGAGTTACCGTTTTGCGAGCGGTGTCACTTTGGTGAAAGGTGCTCATTTTGCTGTACCTGGAGATATGATTCCCCGACACACATATTGAATATTTAGCACGGTCAGCTTACACTATGTTCGTTTGCACTAGGCTATGCTGAACTCTCGACGGATTTCTGCCTTAAATGACAAAGTGAAGGATTTGTCATTGCTCTCTCCCAGTAGTCATTCTGTCACCTAACACAGTCCATCTTAGCTGGAGGACGCAGCTGCTGGCTGCCAGTGACTTTCTCCAGCCCACTGTGCTTCAGGGCAGACTCGTTAAGGGCAGACTCGTTAAGGGCAGACTCGTTAAGGGCAGACGCTTCTTGGTGTCCCACCACTTTTCATACCCAGCAGGAAGCTCGTCCTCAAGGATCAAGAGCCGCAGCATTGGTTGTGGGATGAAGAGGGGTGGCCATTCTTGCTCGTAATTGACAGCTCTCAGTGTGCCCGCTTGTCGAGCCCCCCCCCCCCCCCCCCACACCGCCGCCACCCACCGGCTTCTGCAGGGAGCCCCCTGACGTTCTGCTGCCTGTCAGGCTGACAGACGGAGGCCATCTTCCTGGCGTATGAAGCTCTCTCTTCTGCCAGCCTAGCAGCCTGTTTACTCCATGCCTGGCTGCAGCCTTGTGGGGTCTTTCCACTGGGGACGGCAAATCATAACATGTTGTGTATAACTTTTTCCCGAATGTTTTCAAACTTTGGGAATGTTACCCAGGACAGGCACAACAACTGTGATTGTATTAAATATGGCACGGAAATCAAGTCATGAGTGGAATATTAATTTAGAGAATAGCAGTCCTCAACCCCATACTCAGCAGTCAAACAGAAATTAATGTGAAGATTTATCAATATTGCCTCAAGCAGACACTTTTCAGCTCGGAGTGCAGGTTGTACAGGTGCAGCAAATTGGCAGTTAGCCACTATGCTAGGTGTGAATTACACTAGCTATTCCTAGACACTAAATCATAAGCAGGCCCTGGCCATCAGTGTAAGGCGTTTGTCAAGGTATGTGCATCTCCACATCTGACAGCTTATTGGAAGGTTAGGGGTTAAGTTTCCTGGTCCCCAGATGGGAAAACTCTATTTCATAAAAATCCGAGACTGCAATGAAAAAATAAAAAATGGAAAAGGTCTTGTATTTTGTTTGGTTACTTATGGTTATGTTTAGGGCTGGGTAGGGGTTAAGATTGTCATAGTTAGCATTGGCATTTTTCCCATAGAAATGAATGAGTGGTCCCCATAAGGATATGATTACATAACTCTGTGTGTGTGTGTGTGTAGGGGGGGTTTGCATAGATCACTTTGGGGACCAAATTGTCCCCAAAGTGTAGTAAAACCTGAAATATATATTTGGATAACCTCAATTTTATAAAAATCTGTGAATGCAATCAAAAAAGTAAAAATGCCAAAAGTCTTGTATTTGGGTTGGTTACTTATGGTTAAGGTTAGGGATGGGTAGAGGTTAAGGGTGTCATGATTGGGATTAGGGCTTTTCCCATAGAAATGAATGGACGGTCCCCATTTACTGTAGATAGGTACACCAACATGTGTGTGTGTGTGTGTGTGTGTGTTAATTGCCCCTACATTTCAGTATAGCAAAACTACGTAATATTAACTAAGTGCTAGCAGACACCTTCTCAGTTATACATATATACTATGTAAGTTATTTAAGACACCAAAGTTAAATAAGGTCATATTCAAAAAAGTATCATATCAATTATTTTACTTTTTGATTTAAGAACCACTAGTAACTAACAATGGTAACTCGTTAACAATACAAATGACCCAGTCGGTTGCACAGCAATTTGGTTACATTTAAATGAGCATTTCAGCTAAATAATATATTGATGATGAAATATTTAAATCCATTTGGTATTTTAAGTCATTGTTAAGAATCTGTGAGTTCCCAGCTAGCTGCAGGCCCGACCTCTTCTGTTATGGAACAACATCATACATATTTAGAGGCTCACTGCGTTTAGAGTTAATTGATCACAATAACATTGCCTCCCAGAAGGAGTAAAACTAATATGCCATGCTGGAAATAAGTCCAGAGAAACCTTATTAAATATGGGGAAGGAGCAAACATGTCAAAATAAATCTGAAATCAACACATGCTAGATAACAGACCAGAAAATCGCCTGATGATTCGTGAAAAGCGCATTTAAGCTTCACATACGTAACAACAAAAAACAAAAACTGTCCCTTTAATCACATTATAATACATGACGTTTTACGCAGTCTGTGCCCGTATATGAAGTTTGATTTTATCTACATCATCCATATTCTGAAAACTCTTGTTTTTCCCAGTGGCTCTCAGTCTAGACTTAGGAATTAATTTCAAAATGTATTTATAGTTAAGTTTCCTTTTAAATATCCCCTCTTTACAGGTTTCATAACCAAGTATCATGGCTGAGATATATTTGCAGCTATTTGCAAGGAAGTGCTTCAGACCCCCTTCACCCCATCTTCTGTCCACAAATCGAAATGGCAGTTAATTAAGAGATAACTAGAGGGCACTGAGAATTTAGCAAATCAGGCAGGCGCTGACCCCCTGAGACCGAACTGCATTCTGCAGCCGTCCAGGACCCCGGGACCCTCCCAGCAGACAGGATGGCACACGATTGGCTTAACTGATTGAATGCATTAGTAGCCCGCTGTGAGGAGCGTCCCGCAGCCACGGTCACGCTGAGAGCGAAGGTCCCATTCGGAGCACGTCACCTCATCCTCAGGCGTGGTTTTCACATGCCTGTTTGCCCTGCCTTGTCTCATTAGCAGAAAGAACAGTCACATTGTGGGGACCACTGATGGAAGATAAACTAGCTGACCACAGAAATCAGGCACAACTCACCAGAGACAGGCTAAGATATGTAGAGAAAACTACTGCTTCCTACTGGGGTGTGTGTGTGTGTTTATATGTGTGTGACACATGTCTTATGTGTGTCTAGCATTTCAGTCCCACAGTCGCCTTGAGGTTATAATCATATTCATCCCCCAACTCAAATACCCCCCCCCCCCCACACACACACACACACATCTTTTTCTTAACCTGGGATGTGAAACACATTTTCAATAATCTGTATGCTATTAATTTATTTTTTAAAATATAAAATATTAATTGCTGAATCAGTCAAATGTTATGTGCATGAAATTTGTGTTTTTAAAAACAAAGACATCTGGGTGGTTATTTAGAAGTTACTCAGCAAGCATTTACAGGAGTTATGGTGAATAATTAAAACCTCTTTGGTTATGCTGTGGATTGGGAGAATGATAAAGTAAAAGAGAGAGTGAGAGGGAGAGTTGGGGGAGATCAGGGGACATTTTGTTTGCCAACTGCATTCATTAACTTTAAATAATGCCCAAAGCACCTGCTCAGATCAGAGATCTTTTATTGGGGACAGTGACTGTTTTCTGAGATCATATGCCCAAAACATATGGGATTTCAGGAAAAGGCTAACATTCTATGACTGCAAATGAAGGTAATTATATATATATATATATATATATATATATATATATATATATATAAATATGTGAGATTGTGGCACTAGAGACTGAAACCAGAGACTGCCTTTTTATATTGCGCTGAGTTACGCAGCACTTTTGAAAATGTAGAATCAAGGCTTCTGAAGGTTTGGTACATTTTTAATGTTTCACTATGGAAACATAAAACAAACATGAACTATACTGATGCAGACGTGTTATCTAACTTAAATTCAAGCTTCCGAAAGAGACGGCCTCTGGTGATTACAATTAACCCTGGAAAAGTAAAGGATGAATAGCATTTTCCTTCTAGCTGTAGATAGGCTGCTGTAGATATTCAAGAAAATGCTTGCAGACCTCGGAGAGAAATCCATTACCACAAAGGTGTTCAATCAGCACAGTCTCCAAGACAACTTCCAATCAGTATGCGTCACTCTGCATATCGCCATTGTAGCACACTTTGGGAAGTGCGCGACATCATACAGGAGGTGGATCTTCCTTGAGCAGGTGACAGCCAGCAGTATAATATGGCAGCACCTTCTGCACCCCCTTAGTCTCATGGATGACAGGTCCTGCCTTCCAGGCTGTTTGAAAGCATCCATTGATCCAGTGTTTGCTGATTAATCTCCAATAAAACAACCAGAAGTCATTGAGCATCTGCACTGCCTTTTCATCAGCATCTGAAAGTCGAGAAAACCTTGCCGTTGTGTTTTATTTACACATTTATCGGTTTTCTTTTGTAATTTTTCATGAAAATGAGGCCAGCAGATCAATGTATTGTGCCATCAGAAGATTTCCACTGCTACGCTAAGCAGCTCAGGGCAAGGTGTCTTGTGTGTTTTAACAAGAATCCTTTCTGTGATTTGGCATCTTTAGAATTTTTCAATATATATCTGATACATTACACAAGGAGATGACGGGTGATTTTGTGCAATGCTTACTCACCAATGACAGCCCAATAGTGCATCGAGGTCACTCCAGAAAGTAATGTGTTTCAGTGATGGTGAGGTTTTTATATCATAAGTATGGCATTTCAGAGTCACATTTTAAATGATTTGCATAAATGGGCTATAATGTGAGCAAATGTATGTGTCTGTATGATTGATTCTCTCTCCTCCGACTTTTCTGTTGCGTCCAGGTGATCCAGCGGAGGGAGGACGGCTCTGTGAACTTCTTTCGTGACTGGGATGCGTACCGTGAAGGATTTGGGAAAATCACTGGGGAGCACTGGCTTGGTGAGTCCCACCTACTGACCCAAAACGCAGCACTGGTGGCCAGCTGGGACCGTCTGACTTTCCATAACTGTCACATGGGAAGCTACTGTGTCAGTGTGTTTATAGTGTCTCTGCTTCCTTATTCCTGTTCTTTTTTCTGGAAAGTTTACCACAGAGTTTTCATAATGTCTCATACTGATGTTAACTCTTCTTACTGTGAAGCCAAAATAAATATTTTGATAAGAAATGTGCAGGAAGTGATAATATACAGGTATGTTTCGACTGATGACATATCACTGTCCTGTCCAAGGAACATGGGAGTGTAAATACAAACGATTCTCTGTGTTTTTGAATGCTGTAGTGGAGCGCAAATGTGGTGCCCCCTTGGAGACAGAAAACGTTAACAACAGATAAATGGCACATCTCGTGCTTTTAGGGGAAAGAAAGCCCACTCTTAGTGCTGCGTATCAAAAAGAAAATAAAAAATATGTGCAAAATTGCTGCGTTTTTCTGTTTCATTAGTTGAGCAACTTCGTAAAAAAAATTGAGGGCGTAATTTTGTTAGCCACAGACTGGGACAGAAAGCATTTGGCTACAGGGGAGTCGGAAATGGCGCCATAATTCAGGGGTGGCTGATTCACAGTGACGGTCTGCCACCCCGTGTCATGCCGTGTGGATTGAGGCGCTCACCGGAAGCCGGGGAGACGCGGAACACGGCGCTCTCCGGCACGCTGAGGTCAGGGTTACATTGCTGTCACCAGGCAACAGTAAACCCAGAGGACCCCTTCCGTTTAGCCAAAACACAGCCGGTTGTCTGCTTGTAACTTTCAGAACTTCGTCGAATGCGGTAACACACAGTACAATATGGCAACAAAAAAAGGACATATTTTCCTTCCTCATGGTATATAATTCACACAGACCTGTCAGTAGCGAAAATGTGGTGATTTCAGAAGGCTTCTCGGGTCTGTGGTAACGTTTGTGTCTGCATCCGTCCTCAGTCTTCTGCTGATAGCCAGAGAGGCCTGCAAATAGTGCACAGAGGCACGCACCCACACCCCCCAAACGCCCACCCGCCCCGTCGCCACCAGCTCCGCTCAGCTGCGGGCAGCAGTGTGGGATGATGGGGATTTCAAAAGCTTCGCATTTGCCATTTTGGGATTCTACTCCCAGTCTAAGCGGAGTCCACCTTTTAAAATAAGGCAAGAAAAATTGCAAATACACACACACACACACACACACACATATATAAAAAATATATGTACTGTATATTATAATATATATTATATTATTACTCATAACAATATAATAACAATAATAGCCAGGCCTGGGGGAGGGGCCCGTTGGCAAGCGCCTGGTGGCCGGGCCTTGGCCCGTGGGGCCCGGCCGGGCACAGCCCGAAAGAGGCACGCGGGACTGTCCCCAGGTGGGCCCACCACCCGCAAGGGGAATGTCAGGGGTTCCGTGCATTGTGGATCGGGTGGTGGCCAAGGGAGGCCCTGGCGGTCCGATCCCCTGGCTTTCGGGACATGGAATGTCACCTCTCTGGTGGGGAAGGAGCCTGAGCTTGTGCGTGAGG